ATTTTTATAAATTATACGTGACATGTAGGGTGAAATTTATTTTGTGACGTTCGATTAATGTGAAAGAATTGTTAGAGAACAATCGAAGTTTTGACGTTGAGCCCCTGACGTACGAATTGACCGAAGAAAATTACAGGCTGACCTTTTGGCAAAGAAATCTCGCTGTTCGAAGAAAATTTCAATCTCTCTTTCAGTCTGCCCTCTGGTCTGCAGGCTTCGAGTGATATATGGAGCGGCCACGAACCCCACGTAGCAGGGGTTACGAACCTCCAAATTGATTCGAATCGTTCCTCGGCCGTAATGTTGGATAACTAATGATTCTAGCGCGGCCCTGATATCACGACAGGTAGGAGAGCTCACGGTCACGTAGGATGCACCGTAGGTTGCAGTAATACCACGGTGAGTCGTTTAAATCGGATTTTAATCGCGATCTTCTATTGCCACCACGCTGCGGGAGAGATAAATGAGACGAATGCTTCATTAGCTCCTTCTGTATATATATCATTCTTAGCTTCGAACAGTTTATATGATTTTTTTCGTGAAAACGAAACGATGGCACTCGAACCATCGTCGATCCAGTCTAGCGCAGCGAATCACTTTGCCGTTATTATTCCATAAATAATAAACGGAATAGAAGGTACTTAGCGTCGCGTTATAATTTAGGCCAAGATCGTCGGAGCAGCTGCTCCTTTTTCGCAATTACAGCAACGTGCGATTTCAATATCCGCATCGCGCCGCTTTTAACCAGCTAATCACAGGTGTCCGCCGCGTGCACCTTGCCGTACGTTAATTGGCCTCGCGAGAAGAGCTGAATGATGAACGGGAACGCGTCGAACAAATCGAGCAAGATGAAGCGTAAGGAAGGAAAAGCTGGATCGCGCGACATCGAACGCACGGATCGTTCCATCACGACTTTCATGGTATCAAATTGAAAAGTAATATCGCTACCAAAGTGTGACATAATTGCTCGCTCGTATTCGCTCGCTACGTCCGGCAAGATAATTACAAACCCCGTCCCCGTTTCCCCCCTTGTCCTCCTTCTCCGAGCACGACACTGCATCGAGCAACGTTGCTCGCTCCGAGAGCTATCGGCTTTTAATAATCGCTCGTGAAACTCGTTAAGATTCTCCGTCGGTTAATCGACGTAATACACGCGTTTCTCTTCTAATTGGCGAAATCGAGGTCTCAATCGAGGGGAGGGATCGCGCGCGAAACCGGATCGCCGAAAATGAAGCATTCTCGTAACAGAGGAACAAATTGGAAACGGAACGCGGCTAACTTATCAACGCGTCAACGGTGATAAATGTCTCGTTACCGAGACGCGACCGACGCTTTCGTCCAGCAATCCGGAGAAACTTTAACCCTTAAATCTTTGGCCGATCGTGAAACCCGGTGCCGTGTAAACGTTCGTTCGAACGGCAGATTAATTCCTGGGAACCTTTTAGCGTGATTTCGGTGATCCTTTATAGCCCGGCCGAGGCGTGTTGGTATTTACAATGACATACGGACCTCGCTTAACTTAATAGTCGATGCGTTAACACGGTCCGGCGTTATAAAAGAAGACGGACAGGCCTACGTGCGTGTCGCCCACGCGTCTACCTGTGTACGCACCCTCGCCACCAGACGCGACACCGGGAAACAAGAAAAAAAGAGAACCACGTCCTTTTGACGATGATAATCGAACGTATCGCCAGGCATTCCCTCGAGAATTATTATACTAAACGAGCTGCCACGATCGGGTGCCAAGACACCGAGTATTATCCCATTAGAATAAATGCAAAGCAGAGTTGACTTCTACCATCTCGATGTACTCTTTCTCTGTCTCTGTTCCTCTCCGCTTCCTCGTCTTTCACACAGACTGATTTTCTCCTCGTTCGTCAGCTCTCTCTCTCTCTCTCTCTCTCTCTCTTTTCGTTTGGTACAGCTCGGCGTCTGGCCTGGCACAAGGGTGGAAAATGGGAGACAGTCGGAGCGGTAGGGCGCATTTACATGATATGAATATAATGGAGAGGGCCGGGTCGCTGGCAAACTCAGGACTACGAGAGCGCTACCTGTTGAACGGCGAGTTCAAACCCACGCTGACCTACGGGATGTATTCGGCCTCTCTGGACCGGCGCCCCGGCGCCCAGGCGCTACCAGGACATCTCTGGTCATATCCCATTCACATCTTCCATGACCTCCGCCAAGATTCGTTAACCCTGCATTGCTTTTTTTCTCTTTTAATACTTCGATGTTTTATTGGATCTATGATTCCTGCAACTTTACCTTCCTTTTTATATCCGGAGCCATTCCTTTTTATATAAAATCTATTAAATACCGAAGCGTATTAAGATTAAATCCTTCATCTATCAAAATATCTATGATATTTGTAGAAGTACTCGTAAGATCCCAGAAGTCAGAAGACCTACGCGAGGAAACTGAGGAGGAAATGTCACCTGTCCAATTAAGGACCACTTTCCTATCCGCGATACGATCTCCACGCGCGCGCGGCTAACCCGCACGGTTCCATTCTACGAAACCGTGACAAAGTCGTCGCCGCCATAAATATGTATGGGATAACGCGCGTCGTTCAAGCTAAGTGAACTCCGGATGTTTCCCTCCTTTTTCCTTCGTTCCCTTTCAACGTCTTGCCCTATCGGACATAGCTCCGGGGGTACTTGCCTGATTATACGCTCATCAGACAGCTCGTAGTTAAACAGAGTAGAAGTTACGACTCGGATAAAAGCTTCTTAGACGAAATTTCGGCTTCGGCTATCACAGATAATGGTTACAAACGGATCTCGGAATAAAATGGATGTAATTCTACAAGTTTTTATCGGTCGCTGTAAAACGTCGAAGAGAAAAAGTTAAATAAAAGGCGGAAGAATGGTGCTCGGTTCGTAAAAGTGTAGAAAGAGAATGAAGCGACTTTGTTTACCGTGCAACCGTGTGCCCGACATTATTTTTCGAGGCTCGATTACGCAGGAACGAGGAGGAGTCGTCTCGTAAAAATCGTTCTCGCGCGAGGCAACCGGAGCAGCGTTCTCCAGCGTTGAGAGACAGAGCCCGGTTAAAATAAAGAACAAGGGAATAAAGAAAGGCCCCCAGGCGAGAGGAACAGTCGAACATCGAGCCGAGAAACGACGGAGAAGCGTGAAGGCAATATAAAAGGCCAATAAAATCACGACGGTTAACAATACGGGCACCGAGTTGGCCCGCCATCTTCTCGCCTCCCTTCCGTGAACGCACCCTGGTCAATTTCATTTGTCCTCCCGATTGCTATTTCGAAATTCCGACTTCACCACGTTCCGCTACAATATTACCCTCTCGAAAACGTCATCGAGCCGAGTTAATGCAATGAAACTTTGTCATTTGCACGCCTTATGCATAATAACGCTCCTTCCCGTAAGAAAGCGAAGTGCTTCGAAAGAAAAAATGTTGGAAAGTTGCATCGAAGGTTCGGCGAATATTCATGAAGTTCGAAAAGTAACGGGACGATGCTGGTATCATGCACCGAGAAGTTCGACAGGGATCTCTGGATGCAAGAAACGGATATAACCCTTCGAGACAACACGGGTCGCGATCAAAGAAAGAAACATCGAAGGAGAATGAGGCTCGTTGAGGGAACGAGACAAGTATCGCGAGCGTGTACCCGAAATAAATTCAGCAAAGGCATTTCCAACTGACGATTGTCTCCGGGTTCGCTCGAGTGCGGAATATACCAGCCGTGAAACCAGTAGTCGTACACAAAGGAGAAGCAGGTACACGCGTTCGTCGAGGCGCGATTAATTTCAATTCTTGTCGCGCGACAACTTCCTACGACAGACCGTAAGCGTTCATTTCAAAGAATCCGAAACGGCAGACGCAGAGGATACGTGGAAGCTCGGTGAAACGAGGAGGAAGAAAGGCGCGAGGCGCCACACTCTCGCGGGACGAGCGCGTTCCGCAGCCGGGTCACGATCGGTAACGCAGCTATCCATTAGCGACACGTTATTCGCCCGTTTCTTTCAAGCGACGATCGCGAATCGAGTCGGCGAATTCCAGTATAGTTTTACCCGTGATTATTCCCGCTCCGCGATCTGGAATTCCGTTCGTAATCGCGACTTCACCGTTCATTAACGCTCCGCTCTTGCGAGCATTCCAATAAGCGATTTTTTCCTCGAGAAAAAAGAGAAAAACTAGTCAGCGAAGTCGCCTTCTCTCGCGGATCGGTGTTAATGACCGTAATCGAGAGAGCTAGGATTTCGCGACAGATCGTTATTAAAGCGTACCGCTCGTAATTACTCGAGACTAATAACTCGTGCTCGCAGACGCTCGTGCATCGTGCGCGAATACCCCGAAGAATGCCGTTGGATTTCGCAACATTGGTCTATTAAACACGCGGGGAAGGGGCTAAAGGGAAAACAAGGGATAGTTGCGAGGAGCTTTATCCTGCCGCGTAAACCGCACGCGATTTATGCCCGACTGAACGCTCTCACGCGAACCAGCCTGCACGAGTTTCGGTGCCGCGTCGAAAACGCGTGGAGATCAAAGCCCTACGCGTCTCAAGAAATTCATATACCTACCAACCCTTTTCCTATTTGAAACCACCTTTGAAATTGTTCTATGCAAATTGATAATAGTGCGCGAATATTAGAAGCGTTAGATTGTGAAAAATGACATTTTTGGATGAGCTTTTAAGAAAATAAAGTTCTCTGGTTAGCGCTATAAAAATGGAGATTGAAGGATTAACTTGTCGGGGTTAAACGGTTTATCCGAACGTCACGTGTGTCAGAACAATGTACTCTGTTCGATGGTACACGATAAAGTGTTCGCCGAGAGGAACGAGTCAACGTCGCGTCGGTTTGAAGTAGGCGTCACGTAAACAAACGGCAGGCTAAGTCGGACAATTACAGATAGCCGGTAGAAACAATGACTGCCGTTTCGAGAAGAGAATGAAAGGCATAGTCGTAAATCTGAGCGGAAACAGGTGGAGGCGCGTGATCCCGAGTAGTACATATATAGTAGATCGAGTAACTGACCTTGCGAAGAAAGCTGCGGCTGCGCTGGCCTGCGCCGGTGTCCCGGGCACCCCGCTCACGTTGTACGAGTACTTGGTCTCCTGGTACACTTGATACGCGCTTTGCGGCTTCGAATGGGACGATCGGTGATAATAATGATCGGCGTACACGGCGTTCTTCTCCGTGGAACGTTCACCGGCGACCTTGGACAGGCCGTAATTCTGCATCGCGGCCGAGGAGGACGACGTCTTCGAGTGACATTTCTCGTGACCGTTCTTCTCGGGCCCGTGCGAGTGCGACTTCTCGTGGGCAGACGAGACGGCCGGCTTGTCGATGGTCCCGTAAGACTTGAAGTCGTACCCCTTCAATTCCCCGTAGTACTTGATATTCTCCACCTTGAAACCGTGACCAACCTCGTGACCCTTCGACTTGCCGGTCTCGTGTTTGCCGTAGCCCAGTTCCTGGACCGATTTCATCCTATCCCCGCACTTCCCAACGGTCTCGATACCGTGAAGAATCGCCTTCGTCGACGGCTTCTCGATCTTCAACATCGATCTCTCGCACAGACGACCTTGCACCGCCTCGCTGGCCTTCAACAGAGAATCCACGGCACCCTTGTACCTGTCGCACGTCGATGGCTCGCACGGCACACCGCTACCACCGTGGCAGACATTACCGGAAACGGCACCGCAACCACTACCTCCGTTACCACCACCGATGCCGGACGAACGTGTCTGATGATGATGGGACGACTTGGACGCGTCGGGATGACACCTCGACGATATCACTTCCGGCTCGTCAATGCCATCTTGATAAGAATCATCTTTGTTCACGTTGTTATTGTTACCGTTACTGTTCGAGCAACGCGTGTCACACGACTTGTACGGTAGCCGAGACCGCGACGAAGGAGCGCGTGTTGCTTCTCGCGCGGTTGGCGTGATACTGGCCAGATTAGAGGGCGTCTCGGCGCCATGAGTGCCGCCGGTCCCCTTGCTGGAGTTACCACCACCGCCGCCTCCACCACCGCTGTTGGTGCCGGTACCTATACTCCCTCCTCCGCCACCACCTGCTCCTCCACCACCACCGTTGCCACCTTGTCGCTTGCCCCTCTCCTCCTGTCGAATTGATAATGTTACCTGTTAACCGCTAATCGGTAAGATTCGTCGACGATCCTCTGCTTTCGAGATCGACTGGGACCGGAAGTGGACACGATTCGAAGGTGAAAGGGAAAGAAGGTCGGTTCGGATAGTTGGGTTCACCAAAAGATTCGTCAAACGCAAATATAAGTTTTCTTACCTGTATTCGTTTGTAATCGTCCTGTTTCCTGGCTACTTCTGAATACTTCGGAGGAGGTTCAGACTTTGGTGGGGTTTCCTGATATTTCGGTGGTTTATCAAATTGCCTGTACTTGGGTGGATCGATGTAAGGGTTGTTCTGATGCCTATAATAATTCGGTAGCTGACACTCGGTGAGATCGGACTGGGATCTGTTCAACTGATGATAATGCGGCGGAGGATTCGCCTTCTGTTCCTGATGGCTCTGTTTCCCGTGCTTCGTGGTCGCGTTCGTTTTTTCCTGACCACCGTGACACTTGTCCCGTTTCTCCTCCCTCTCCTTGCCACCCTCCGACTTGCCGTCCTTCGTCTTCTCCTGCGAGCCAGGCCCATCGATCTCGTAGAAAGTCAGCTCCTTTTTGTTCTGATTCTTCTCGATCGCGGAACGATGCGGCTTCGGATGGTGCTGAACGTTCTCCACCTTGACGGGCGGATCTATCTGATAGAATGTTAACTCCCGCGAGTCCTGCGACTTCGAACGGATCTCCTGGCACGGGTGTTGCTGTCTCTCCGGTTGCGAATGACTACGGGTGTACCTCTGATCCGGCTTCCCGATCGCTTCTTGATGCCTCGACGATAATCTCGCGAACCTCTCGTTCGGTCCTAGCCTGACCGAGTTACGACCGTACTCCAGATACTCGTCGCCGTACTTGAAAACCTGTCGGGGCTTGTACTTCTCCTCGAACTGCGAGTAATTGTACGTATTGAAACCCACTTGATTAAAGTTTCTGCTGAGGTTCGACGAGTCGTAGTCGGTCGACGTGACCGCCTCCATATTTATCTGGAACAATAAAGGGGAAGGTAGAAGCGTTACACGCGAATGCTGATCAATTATCCAAGCATCTGGACCAAACACTCGAAGGAATATGAAGTCAGCGAAAGATAAGTTGCACGAGTAGTCGAAGACAGTGGGTATGTACAGAGAGAGAGAGAGGCTTTCCAAGAGGGTAATCGAGTGGAGAGGAGAAAAGTAGAGTCAAGGGCGTTCCACGGTAGAAAGGAATAAGAAAGAGGGACTCGAGTCGGGCCAGGGTGGACCATAAATCGGGGAACGTCTTACTCTTAAATGCCCGGGGTATTTACCGTGAAACAAAAAGCCACGGCACGATAAATAAAATCTGACACCAAGGGGGCGTGCCTCTGTCTGCCTCTGTTTCGCGGCTAAAGCGCCGCTCTGTTGCATCCACTCTGCCGTTCCGAAACGAAACGGAACCCTGCTCGAGAACCTTTGGAAGGGGTTGCTCTTGCAGCGGCAGCAGGAAGCTGGCTGGTCAGCGCCGAATTCCACGTCGAAAATCGAGTCGTGCTCGAGGAACCGGTTCGCACCTCTGCACCCGAAGGCCAATCGATTGCGCCTGTATGTGTACCCGTCGCGGGTTGCTTTCACGATGAGCCCGAGATCACGCGTGTACCTCTTCTTCATTTTTTTTTTTACTCCTTTTTTTTATCTCCACCTCCTCTTTCTCCCGTGTTCAAGCTCTTTTATACGGAATACGCTGCGAGGCACGACCAGAGCACCGAGATGCATGACCGCGATTAGACTGCGAGTCGAGCTGGCAAAAATCCGCTGCTGATCGCGTGCTCCCGCGAACGATCTAGGTAGATCGGTCAAATATAAATAAGAATTATTTTCCAGCATTTCCTAATTACCTAATATTTCACTGATCCTCGTCGTTTCGATTCGTTCCCGATAACTGTAAATTAAAATATTCAAGTAGGGATCGCCGCGAGGAGGGTGGTATTAAGAAAAAAATGCTTGTCAATCGATTATTCCTGAAATCGGTCTCTCACCCTGGAGCCTCGATGGCCATCTTTTTGACCTGAAATCAAATTCAGCTGATCGAGCATCTTACTTCGAGAGAATGTCCCGAGAGGTACGATCGGGTCACCAGGTATGTATATATGTATCGGACTTCATAATTTCTTTCTAGAATACCGAGAGAATGGCCCTCGGGGTGGCACGGTTATATATTACCAGCCGTAATGAAGACTCCACGGCAGCGAGCTACCGAGCTCAGGCTTGTTTATCGCCTCGCCTCAAATATACAATTAACATGTTGAAAAGGTGCCCGAGGTCTCGGAATCGCGACCATCCTTTTGCCCAACGCCGACAAAGAAAGGGTTGCGGGGCACTGTACTCCGGTCTCGTTACCTCGTACGCCTCGTTAAAGCGTGTCTGGATTCTTAACCCGCAATCTCTTTTCTTATTCTCCCTTTTACCGTTCACTTCGTGCTCTTCCGAAATATTATATACGTACGCGAAAATCTCGTAAATCGTTGGGATGAATTTAATATAGATCTCCGAGATTCCTAGATTGGGAATAAATGAAAAAACTTGCTAAAGGATCGAGCGATTTTCAAGGAGCGACTGACCCGAATACAGAGCGCGGTGAATCAACTTTTCTCGGCTGAAAGCTGCCTGCCATTATTAAATATAATTAAAGAGAAAGGCTGTCGAAGACCGGAGAGCGATATCGCGGGATACACGACGAGAGTACCTTGCGAACGCGTGTTTCGTTCAATCATGTTCACGCCGATCGGATAATTCGCCGGATTTAATCGGGACGAGGTGAAAACTCGTCGCGCAACAACGCGGCCGGAAGTTCCTTGCAAATGAGAATCACGGTATTCGAGGCTCGGACAACGTGTCCCCGACTGCGCGATACGCGGCCAATATTGATAGTCGTTCGCGTCACAATTCTCATTTATCTTCATCCCTCAATTTCCCGTGTACACGTGCTCGTAGCACACCGTTCAGAAATAAAACCAGCCTCCTCTACTCGTGTTTTCTAAAGTACACGCGACGAGAGTGATAGCCCTTCAATCCTGTATTTCGAGCACCGTTCGATTAAACTGCGAGACGGTTATTCCGTTCCATCCACGATAAAGTCTATTTTACCATCTTTGGGGATAGGAATTTTCTCGAGGAAAATTTGTATGTTTTCTATTACCATTTATAGTCCCTTTCAAAGTTACAACCCTCAAACATCGTGGTATTATAACTTTATGGATCATAGTAAGTGAGCAAAAAAATAAATTTACTTTTCAAATTTCCATAGGGTTGCGCCCTCCCGTAATAAAGTAATTAACTCTTTGCGTCCCAATGATTTCCTATGAAAACCACTATTTCATATTGATTTCTATTTGCATCTGCAATAAGTGCTCCCCTTTTGAAAAAATATATTCTTTCTTATATTGACTTCAAAAGAGTCAAATTATTAAACTCAAAGGTGGTGAATTTAGTCGTCAACCTAACAATATAACTTGGGTAATTGAAAATAATGATCTATACGATAGAAGCAGTAATGTAACACCATTCCAATGCTGGTAGCAAACGCGTTAAGGTGAAATTAGCGGAAAAGCAAGGCGACTTTCTCACCGGTCTCAATAATATATCCGCGAGTATAAATATTGATAGATTTTTTTCGAAAGTTCCATTCCGGAAGACGATAATAAGGTTGTTTGCGTAGGGAATAATAAGTCTGGTTGCTGGATGGATGCGGGCCCGTGCCGTGTCTGCGAACGGGGCCCCGTAATTACGCTTGCCACTAAAATTATCCTGGCAATCGGTTTCGCGCGATACACGGGGTGTCTCGAGAGGAAACGACCACCTTCCCGTTCATCGATTAGTATTATTAGCGAGAGGCTAGGCGAAATCGGTAAAAGCTCGTCCCGTTTCACCCTCTTCTTCTTCCTTTCTTTCATTTTTTTTATTTTACCCATCTCGTCGAAACGGTACACGTGTTGCGGGCCGGGAATTTATCGCTGGCCATCGAAATTCCGTATCCTCGCGAAAGAAAAAAGGACAAATATTGATTACAGAGTACACCGTCGGGCGATAATCGTCGTCCACGACAAAAGAGAAATCGAGCGGCCCGCTTAATAACGCCGTGCGCGAAGATAATTAGTCTCTGCTCGCAGGACGAGCAGGTATTTTCAAGAAACACTCGAAATGCACGGGGAAAAGCTCGGCTGAGGACCAATGGGAGCCACGTAATGTAGCTTGAACGTAACGAAGAATGCCGACGAATCTTGTTCGCGAGACTAATTGGCTATTTAATCGGCGGTAGTTGTTGAAAGTAGCCGTTTAAGGTCTACAAGCTGCGGTCCGTGTTGAACGTTGGAAACGGGCCGCGAATTGCGGCGTAAAGGAGCAACAAGAGAAAACGGGAGAGCCAGTGCCTTGGTACGAGCAGCATTTCTCTGGGCAATTTGCGAATTATTAATTTAGCCATTCCCCTTTAACGCTACTGCGCCCGCGGCTAATATTTTCCCCGGAGTCGAGCGAGAACCCGCCAAGAACCGAGCCAACAGAGGCATACGGAAACGTAGAAACTACACTGACTTCGAAAAGTCCATTCGTAGTAATGTAATGGCCTCTTTGTAATTTCTTAACGGTCTCTATATCCCGACAAGATTGGGATTTGAATAGCAATTTCGCGAGATAGTGTTGCGAGTCATCTTGTCTCTGAGATTTTCTAAACGCACTGTAACTGAGTAGAACGAGGAAGGAGGAAGAAAAGACGAATAGGGGTTGAGAGAAGCACGGAACGAGCTGGCACGACATTGATGGTTACCACGGAACTACAAACGCGTACGTGAACAAAGTTCCGCGTCCAATTATGAAATAAAGGCAGGTAACAAACTTGATTCCGCTCGTTGAGCTCGCCAAGTGCAACGTCCCAGGAGGAAAATATTATCGGAAAAGAAACGAGTGACTATCGTTTAGTTGCTGGCACGTTCTGACCCTTCTGCCTGTCGTCTCGAAACGTGCAAACAGAGCGGCCGGAAGTAGAAGTTTTTGTGTCCCTCCGAGAGACCGAGAGGGAACGAGATCTTTGTTGCGTACAATGCGAGGCATTAAAGCATCTCCAACCTGTTTACAGGGTTTCTTTAATTGATTCACCGAACAACAGACTTCATAAAAAATATCCGCTTTACAAAAAATCGTACTCTATTATTGCAATTTTCAAAAGAAGAAAACACAATGCATCGTAAAAATATGCAACAATGTTCTTACATCGTTACGAATTGTTCTGGAGAAAACAACTAGTACAAAATAGAATTAAATGCACGGTACAACGAAACTATTACGCCGGTAATTGTTCGAAAATCGGATTTACCGTTCGTTTATTGTGCACGTTCGCCAATCGGTTTTCGGACCGAGCAGCTATTAACGAAACAGCGAGGCAAGTGTTGTTCGAAGTTAACCACCGAGTGAAAAACAAGGCATGCCTCTGCTGGCACAAAATCATAACCAGATTTTCAATATCCTGGGAGAGGGTATCAGGGGGTCGTCGGAATATCCAATTTTCACGGTGGACCGAGCTGTCTCAATGCCATCTACCCCGGCGACTGCAACAATCGAATTAGAAACGGGCCGATTGGCTGGTCGAATGAAAATCTTCACTCGTTTTCCCGCGTTCGCTTTGTTCCGAGATAAAACAACCGTGTATTATCGCCAAGGTGCAATTTCGAGCCGATATACCCTCGTTAACCCTTCGAAACCGTACAGCGCCTCTTTAGAGATAATTGCGCCCTCCGGGATTGATGCATCGGTGTCCCAAATATTTTGCAATTTTTCGCGAGTAAAAGAAGTCGCAAACAAAAAGGATATTTCTCCGGGAGAAAGTGACACAGAGGGTCGATTGGAAAGGGACGGGTCTTTTAATATAGACGGCGGCGAGGGCTTTTGAAGGGCGCGTAGAACCGCTAGATTCCGCTGATTGACTGACTGACACGGCACGGTAAAGGGGAACCGGGTGAAAGGGCCAGACAAAG